TGGCGAGCTCTATCTGGAGAGGTGTGTCTCCGCATTGGAGAACACTCCTGGACAAGGAGGAAAAGCTGATTTAACTCAGCTAAAAATCAAAATTAAATCAATTAAATCACTTTAAATCACTTTAAATCATTTTAAATCACTTTAAATCATTTTAAATCAAAAAATCACCTTAAATCAAAAAAATCATCTTAAATCACAAAATCATAAATCACCTTTTTCCCCCTTGCAGTGCATTATCTCACAGCAACTATGATTTATTCATACTCAAGCATATAAATACATCAGTTCAGGCGTTTAATATTAACTATATGATGATTTTGATACAAGAATTTATCATAAAATTGTTAATTTGAATAGAAGTTTTTGTCTGGAGAAAGATCAAAATAGGCATTCTGTACAACGCTTAAAAACGTAAAGAAATCATTCTAAGTTGAAAAAAGACTTTGACATCTTCTGCAAATTCTTAAAATAATAGGGTGTAAGTTAAATTCCAGGCAATTACATAATGAAATCAAAGTTTCGCCTCCTTGTGTGCCAAGTTTGACGACGGTACTATTTCTCGTCTCATCTTTCTGAATATGTATTAGATAGAACCACGATGATTGATAAATTACTTGTCATGCGAGACTTTTGTTCTTAGATATTTCGAAATTTATTCGCATAATTTCTCACACGAAGTTCTCGATTGAGGCTGATATGTGCAGCAAATTGTGACAATATTGACAATTTAATACGCAAAACTATGCATTTAAAATTCAAAATGCGACTCCTGATGATACATCATGATATTGGATGTATCGCCAGAAGAATGTCCAACAGAAATAAATTATCATCGGCTTTGCCTAGTCTCGATAGGCTCTATCTAATAATTAGAAGTCTGACAGAAGAAACTGCAATCTTGGGGGCGCGATTCATGAGTCGAATAGTTCTACTATGAAAGCGGTTGGCTGACGTTGTTGGAATGCTTTTCCTCGACCCAAATATCGTAACTAGATGCTTACGAGCGGTCAGATATTTGAATCTACGAGTCGATCAGAGTCGATTGAATTTCTGTGTGTCCTATATTTGTTGGAATCATCCGAAGCGTCTTTTGATGTAGTGCTTCACCTTTTAAAAATGCTATTGAGTATGAATCATATTCTAGCCGTCTGTTCCTTTCGATGCTCTATTTTCTTCTTCGTCCTCTTCTGAATCTTAATTAGAAGCTGAAATGCAATTGTTTTGCTTGTTGATCCACTAATTGATTGTTGTCGGACGAAGTTGGATAAACTGCAACATGTCGTATTAGAACGTACTTATATTAGCTTTGTACAGATGATTTTTTCTCACTGACTTAATAAAAAAAATTCGTATTTATGACAAAAAGGATATATTTAATAGAGTGCAACCTGGAGCAAAGCCCAAGTTCTTTGTGAGTTTCGCGATATTAAGGAAGAGCCGATGATGCGTGTCATTATTTGTGTTCCTGAGCTATGATCAGATTTTCTTTAAAAAACTGCGAACACTCGATTTCTTTTGCTTTATTTGTTTGAATTATGTTAGGTCTTAGGAATTGAACATAAAATGAATTCGAAAAACATTTTTAGACATCGAAAAATGCCAAACCAGTGAGCAATTAGTACCAACAAATTCGCCATCAAATGCATTTCGACTCATTTCTAGGATACTGAAGGGCGCAATAATTAAACGTGGAGACATTGGGCGGAGCAACGAGCAAACAAGCTATAGGAGCTGTCTTTCTTCGATTCTTGCTGTCTAGAGCCTTCATCGGATTATGTTCGTATGTCATTCTACGAAATTGGGAACAATGTTGCTGAGTTGACGTTCAAAAATAAAAGACATCATATTATTGTGAGACTCTATTTTTCAAGAAATCTACGTAAAGAGCCTCAAATGTTTCATTTAATAACTTCCGTTCGGTTGAAAATTTTCATATGTTTCTTCACCGACTACGTCTTTTGTAAAGTTATCTGCGCATGCCATACGGATCTTTTCACATGTTGCTGGACTATTCAATGCAAAATATTTAGTTAAACCATTATCATGTCGATAAGATTCAATTGCTTTCTTAATAGCAAAGAAAACAGTGGTTGATAACGTTAATGCTGGTTCACCCACACCTTTTGATGAGAAAATAGCAAATGGATTCGGCGCATTTTTAAATAAACTAACACGAAAATTAATTGGTACATCATTAAATGACGGTATTTTATAAGTTCCTGGTCCTTGAGTAAATAAAGAACCAGACTCTAACCATTTATGTTGCTCATCACCCCATATTATCTCTTCCATTGTAACCATGCCAACTCCTTGCATAAATGCGCCTTCTATTTGGCCGACATCAATATTCGGATTCATTGATAAACCAAAATCCATAAGAATATCTGTTCTTAAAATATGAAAATCGCCTGTCAATGTATCAATTTCAACCTCTGAACAAGCACATCCAGTTGTAAAATATGGATATGATGCAAAATTATTTGCAAAATCAACATCTTCTACGTGGGGTGTAGTATAAAAACCTTCTGCAGACAAGTTAATTCGCCGATAGTATGCTCTACTAATTAATTCAAACCAGTTATATTCCGGAAATTCTTCTCTTAATGATTTTAATCGTTCATTTATTTGTTGGCATGCAAGTTTAGTTGCATTTCCGTATAAATCTGAGGACACTGAACCGGCTGTCGATGATGCATTTGGAATTTTATCCGTTGCTGTTTCACTAATACGAATTAGATTAATATCAATCTGTAATATTTCAGATGCTACTTGAATCGTTTTCACATGAAGACCTTGACCCATTTCTGTTCCTAAAAATTTGGAAACCCAGTAAGAAGTTAGATAATTAAATCAGCCTTAATTTAATTTATTATTAAACTTTTCTGATCCTATGAAATACATGCACAGGGGACTATAACTGCGCAGATTTGCGCCATTCCGCATGGTTGACAAGAGCTAAGCGAGCGCTTGGTTTGCAAATTTTCGGATGTAGATATCTAATTTGACTGAATTCTCAGGACTCGTATGTATTACCACGGTAGTTTTAGAAACAAATAGAATACTCTCGGTACTGAGCAGCCTAAATTTTTGAGATATTGACTAGAATTTATCAAGCAAATGGATATTGACGTATACTTAGTAGTGATTTCCTCAGAATTCTATACAAGTCCAATAAAACTATTTCTACTAAAGAGTTATGAAATTCATTGAAATTATAATCGAAATTAAAAATCCAATTATCAAAAGATAGCTTACCACCATGTGTCAATAATACGGTGCCGTCTCGATAAATATGTATTAAAGCTGCAGCTTGATACATATGTTTACGTGTAAAACCAAGGCCAAGTTTTGTTGGATTCATTGCTATACCACGTTTTCGATAATGATTTTCACGATTAAATCGTTTTACTTCTCCCAATCGTTGATAATATTCTGACGATTTAATTAATTCATTCCACATTTTTGGAACATGCCAATTTATTAATATTTGATGAAAATGTGTAGAATCATTTTCTTGATATAAATTTATTTGTCTCAATTCTACTGGTTCTACTTTTAAATATGATGAAACATGTTCTACTACTATTTCACATATTAAATTAGCTTGTGGTATTCCAAAACCACGAAATGCTGTCATTGATTGAATATTTGTTTTACATACACGTCCATAACATTTAAGATTTTTAAAATTATAAACATTATCACAATGTAGTAAAGCACGTTCCATTATAGGTACAGAGTAATCTTGAGACCATCCACCATTACTGTATAATACTATATCTAATGCTTTTAATAGACCTGAAGATGTAAAACCCACTTTATATAAAGATTTAAATGGATGATTCTGTCCATTTATTAACATGTCGACATTTCTGTCAAGAGTCAAGCGAACTGGTCGTTTTAATTTCATTGCAGCTATTGAAATAGCGATACATAGTCTTATGTGACGTATTGAATCTTTACCACCAAATCCACCGCCTATACGCTTTACATGAACGACGATTTTATTACTTGGAATACCTAAACGAAATAGTTGTGTAAAACTCTATCTGAAGCTACGTTGAATCTTTCAGCTAAGGCAAATGTTGTGACGTTTTAAATCTTACCTAACGCTGCAGCTACTTTTTCTTGTACACCAGTTGCATTTTGTGTTGATACGAATAGTTCTAATTCACCACGTTCATGTGGTATAGCCAAACAACAATTTGTTTCTAAATAAAAATGTTCTTGACCACCAATATAAAATTCACCGGTCAATGTGTGTTCAGATTCTTGAAAACCTTGTTCTAAATTACCAAATTTTAAAGAAAGTTCTGGTCCTAAATAAGATTGTTGTTCAATCGCTTGATCAATGGTGACTATTAATGGTTTTAAACATTCGTATTTTATATCAATTAATTTTGACGCATGTTGTGCATCCATTTCATTATCAGCAACAACCAAACCAATTACTGTACCCACACAGTAAACAATCGACGATGGAAATACTTCTTCATCATTAACAACATCACCAGTCATACGACAACCAGGCACATCCAAATGGCTAATAAATGCTTTAAAACCAGGCACTTCTTCAGCTTTTGTTTTATCAATTGACACGATTCTTGCATACGGTCGTGTACTTAAAACAAGAGCTGAATAAAGTCCATCTGAAGGTGTTGGTATATCGCAAGTATATTTTGCTTCTCCTGTCGCATGCAAATAGGCACTATTATGTATCGATGATGAACCAACAATTTTATTGGAAATTGGCTTTGATTGAAACTCTTATTCACCGTGTGATAAATCACGAACGTACGTTTTTATAGCTGATAATTCATTGGACGATATTTCATCGGCTACGGTATCAGGGTACGTTTTTTGTAATTGTTCTTTTACATACAGATAGAATTTGAAGAAAAACGATGTCACTAATGTGCGACTACAGTCAAACAAAAAAAGAAAAAGAAATTATTACGAAGAAAGCTTACGAATAGGATTAAAATACGAAAACAGCCATACAAGATTTAAGTTCAACCTCAGATGAAGGATTGTCTAAAACCCAATATCCTTACCGATATGCTGCTTGTCCACCTGACGTAGATTCATCCAAAGTTAATTCATCCAGTAAGCATTTCAAAGCATCCTTCATTGTTTGCTTACACCATGGTTTATCTTTGAGATAGTCTTGTGTCTTTTTCATCATAACTATAGACGATGCTATACCACCAAACGAAAGACATGCTGATTGTATTTTCCATTTGAATTCTGGTACAAAACCATCCGCTTGATGCTCCAGTTTAACTTGGAAACCACAACTAACTATAGGAGTATCAAATTTACGTCTCTTCGATTGCTTGTAAGATTGCAAATATTCATATTCTTCTGTAAATGGAATGTAAACCGACAGTAGAATTTCGTCTCGTTCCATGTCAACGTTGTTATTGCGTACGAAGAAGTTTCGCAGTGCTATTTCACATTGTTCATTAGTGCTGTGTTTTATCAATTTTAGTTTAGCATTACATGCTTGTAAGATTGGATTTAAACTGGATATCGATGATCCATGAATAATATTACCACCAATAGTGGCAACATTTCGAATTTGTTCCGAACCAAAACTATTCAATTGATTCAATAGTGCATGACATGTACTTATTTGATGTGTTGATAACGTCTTTAACCATAATTTTAAGTATTCTTTTAATTTTGCTATTGTTATGCCAGCACCAATGATCATACCATTCTCTAATTTTTCCATAGTATTTAATTCTTGAATGTGTGAAACCCCAATGAGAATAGGATAGTTTTTATTTTTAAATTTTCTGTCAATTTGTACCATTGTATTGCCTGAAACTATTTTTGCCGTTGGATACTGATTTTTCAATGAGACAAGCTCAACCAATGTTACTGGACGATACCATTCAACAGATTTACCTAAAAATTCAAAAACATGAATTCATTTCTCTCCTTATATCATTCGATATTTTATTCCGTTACTCTCGTCTGCAAAGCAATGCTCATTTCTGATTGTAAAGAATGTAATACCTTTTATATGTATTGATTGGGTTTTGTGATGTAGTAATGATGGTGGAAATTCTAATGCTGGACATTTTATATCAACGTATTGTAATAACTTGTTCTCTGTTGTACTTATAATAGTATTGATATTTTCATCTCTACTATTGCTGCAATCAGATGGTTGATTCACCTTTGGCTTTTTATCGCACGCAAATGTTTTCGCTGCGTCTAATATTGGTCGATAACCAGTACAACGACATAGATTGCCATCAAATGAATCTTCAATATCTTGCATGGTTGGGTTTTCAATATTATTCAATGTACCATAGAGTGACATAACAATACCAGGTGTACAAAAACCGCATTGTGACCCGTAAAGTTCAGCTATACGTTCTTGTATGGGATGCAAAGAATCACTTTGGATACCATTGATACCTTCTACAGTTGTTATATGACAACCATCGACGCAACAAATTGAAGCTAAACATCCATTGATAGCTCGATGAACAATCTTTTGCGATGTAGGATCATAATGAGAGATCAGCACTGTACAAGCGCCACAACCTCCTAAGAAGATAATTGCAGCTTAGTATGAAGTAAAGTGATCTTCTCATCCTTTCTTTTACAGACCTTCTCCACAACCCAACTTTGAACCAGTTAGTCGACATTCTAAATTAAAATAATCAATTCAAACGTGCGAATCCATATGTATGCTATTTGTCGCCTTGTCTGTTTTAAAAGTTCTAAGTTTATCTTGCTCCGCTGTATCTCGAAAAAATACCGCATATATTACACGTTTTTCATCCCTCAAGCGCATAAACTCCGAATTATCAATGCAAGACATCTACTTTTTTAAATTCAAGTAGTGTGGGAATTCCAATGTTTACTGGGTGTGAAATGTGTTTGACCAACTGCGCAAGTTTCTCAACTGTTGACGTTGAATGATCGATGAAAACGAGTATACTGTTAAGATTATTGTCATGGAACGTGCTTCCTGCTGAACTACTGATCTAGGGATGCTGATCGTTTACTTGTAATTGTCGTGAGAAACAGAGTATACCACCCGTTGCTATTAAAATCCTCCAGATTAGAGTTTAAAGTTGGTGTTGGCCAACCTTTTATGTACAGAGATTTGTATAGGAGGTAAATATTTCTTATCCGGGTACTATCATTCGACCTTTGATACTACATCATCTATTGTACTTACTAGTTCTTAAATACCATAATAAAGTCCATTCTGGCTGAGCATCATGTTCGATTATCATTTTACCATTCACAAAGAATGTCAAATAATTAATTCTATTTGATGAAGACATAAATCACTTAAAATTGTAATAACAAATCTAAATGATAGATAACCTAAAAAAGATAGTTGTCCGTTATTAGAGATTTTTCGTCAATTTTAATACGATATTTTTCCACAACATTCGTTTCACGCATAAACATTGGCGTACATGATAACTTTAAAGACAAAGCAAAATGGTAAAATAGATGAGATAAATTTGTTAACATTAATGGGACAGACCAAATAAGTAGACAGTTTTTGCTGCCTTCATGGTGATTGGCAAAAAACCTGGAGTGATGAAAATGTTTTTTCAAACATCGTGAAGGTAGAAAAAAATATCAAATGCAAAGACTAGCTATTCATTGTACTTCATCGGTTATATAAAAAAAAAACTCAATGAAAGCGTTACACAGTAAAATTTCAAATACAGTAACGATCAAAAGTTACGTTTTGCTTAGTTGTGTTAACAGTGCAACACAGTCAATCTGTGATAAGGTCTTCCCATGAGAAATGTGGCGTGTTGATGATAAATATGAAGATAGACGTCTTCGTTCCAATCTCACGAGTGAATATTATGTTTACTATTGTGTCCCTCTCCAAACATGGTTTCTCAGCCATTATCATCACCTTGAATTTCTCCATGAAAATGTGAAACAACATTTATATGTTGACATTGTATCGTGACTGCTCCTCTGAGTGACTACTAGGACTAATTCTTTTGGGATTTATTAAATCATTTTTAAAGTCCGGGATATATTCTCTATTTATCATATATTGTAACAATGATTGTCGATATAACCCAGGTGACCGAAAGACTCGTAAAAAGACTAGCCTTTTTTCAAGACAAGTCGACCGTCCAGTCTAGTCTTTTTCTCAAAATGTCCTAGTACAGGACTAGTCTGAAATCTCCTATAGTCCATAGTGCCCATCCGGACTATGAAAGTGACTGGAGTCATTCTATTTGTCATGCGTAGTCTTTTTCAAAAAAAAGTCTAGACATGCTTACCATCCGGACGCCCGTCAAAAATATGATTCTAAATAAAAGTAGGAGCGTCCATAACGCTTTACATGACGAGTTGTGGTCTTATATAATGACGAGATCCTGACTAGTCTAAACTGAAATGTTTTATGACTACAACTAGATTCGAACACACATACCAACTATTACTTACCCATCGTTCAGACCATTGAGCCATTTGATCGAGAGATCAATTTATCAGTATTTCTAGTCATTCTACGATGCTTTGAAATAAAAAAATTTTCTAAGTTTTATTCAATTTTTCATATGAATAAAAAATATTTTTTTATAGATTAAAAAATTATTAAGACGAAATTGAATAAAATAAATTGAAAACTGTGGTTATTTTATCTCATGTTTTTGTCTTGTTTTAGTCATTAATTTAGCAATTCAGCAGGACATTTTATTCAACAATTTTTTTCCTTCTAATATTTATTTAGATAATTCAGAATTCGGACTGACGGTGTACTTAAAAAATAGAATAATCTTTACGAACATACAACAGTTTATATTAGCCTAGGAACAGTCCTTCTAGCTACCATTTAAGGCATTTTCGGGTAGTGAGAATCAGTTTCCATCAAGTGATTTCTGCACGCATGGTATATGGAAGACACCCATTTGCATTTTAGAATATATACATAGACATAAGGCTTACTGTATTATGGACTACCGTCAGGACGCCAGTCTGAGTTTTAATAGTATTATAAGTGTCTCTAATGTTGCAATCTAACTTTTTTCTCTATTTTTTACAATATTTTCCCCTGCTATGGGCTAGTCCAGGTGGGAGTAAATGAATAAACAGACCAGTCTAGACGGGTAAAAGGACATGCGGACTAGCCAGAACATAATGCTCTGGAATATCTTGGACCTGTCTAGGCGGGTAAAATGACATACGGACTAGTCACAATAGATATGGAAAACGTATTAGACTAGACTTGACGGATATAGCAGACTTTTTGGACTAGTCATGTCGCCCGTCCTCCCTATTTTTTTGCTCACTTGGGAAGATAAATTCATTTACATCTCAATGTAAGTCATCCTTGGGTAAATTTCATTGATTGGATTTGTTCTAATAGGATTCTTTTGTCACACAGGTTGTTGTAAAACCTATAAAAATCAAATTATTTCTTAACGGACCCATCCACGATACCCATCTCTATGAAGATATATCGGATGGCTTCTCAGTACAGATATCTAAGATTGAAATCTTTATTTGATCACTTTTATTTTTGTTACTAGAAACTTACTGGGAATTAGTACGTAAAAAAAGTTCATGGAAATTTTCCTATAAAAAATCCAGTCGGATTTATTTCGTACATAAGCATAGCTCATTGGATAATCTATTTTTAACTCCGTTTCATTTTATAATTGATCGAGAGATCAATTCTTCTTCCAACGACTATATTTTAAGGAAAACCAGCTTTGAAAATTTCTTGCACCCATCAATAACACCATAAGATTAGCTGATTATAGCGCTGCCTTGTGAAAGATATATAATGTTCCAAACCTTATTCGGTTTACTTTTTTTTCTTTTACAAAAATATCTTTGCAATATAAATCATGATAAAAGAGGGGGACACTTTGTACACAAAACGGTCATAAATGAAAATCAGTTCTAACTATGATTTGACGCTGTACTGTGTGTGAGTACACGCTTCTGAGCTTTTACAGGACATTTTCAAAAGGTTTTAGTCTCCGTCTACAAACAGTGGATCTCTACGATAAAACATACACTGCCGCGACTGTTGTAGCAGCCAGCAACAGATTATACAGATCCGCTAATAACCTACCGATAGAACTTTTCAAAACCTACAAAATGATCATAAAACATCCAATAAAATATGCTGTGCTCGACAATTCCTAAACAGCATACTGTCGAAAGTGTATGGGAAAATTATTGTTTGCGTCGAGAATGCTGAATATAATGCTTAACAGATTTGTTTTGTAATTGCTTATCGTGTAGTGACGGAGAAAATGGTGTCTGAATATCAGTTCATGGAATAGGTTTGGATATTTTTATGGACATCCTTATTTATACTGCATTGGATACTAGTGGATGTATTGTTACGGACATCCTTTTCAGTAATGCATTGGATCGTATGGGATCTTTTTCATGGACATCCGTATCGTTAGTTTATTGGGCAGTAGCCCTTCCTCTTTGGTTAGTGTGCTGGATTCAGAGCCAAACGTCTTATAGGATGTCCTTTTCATCATCATCTGTGACTGGGATTCGATACCGAGATTGTCGAAGTTAAATAAACAATCAAAAAAGCTACCCCCATTGGACCACCCAGTCGGTTTAAATCAGACTGGAAGAGTAATATGAAGAGTATTGGATCGGTTAGAACATATTAAAGTTAAACTGACAGGTAATCACATGTGAAAAACAAAGGAAGACAAGGGTATAGAATGGTCTTTGCTACGGATGGAACTTATCAATCTTGAATTTCTATTAAACAAGCCGAATCGTTATTCATACTTTTATTTCTGAAGAAAGATTTCATATATATGCATATATAAATATATACATATATCATTCTGATGTATAGATATAGCTATTATCTTCGTCATCCGAAGACGGTTCAAAATCTGAAATATCGTCTGCATACTGGATGTTTGTGGTATTAGTTGATGATGGTTGTCGGTTTATAGTACTTTGATAGCGTTCATAACCTAGAAACCAAATAGCTGCTGCAATATGTGAGCAACATCCGACTGTTTGCAGACCTGGTATGCACGTACAATACCATGCGATAACTTCTGTTGAGTCAAATTGAATGTATGTATGATAGGTGCATGATTTATGTGCAGATCGAAATCGGAGACGAATGATGTCTTCAGCGTCATGTTCAGTGCATGCTTCGATTGGAAAGTCGACATCCGGATCTGTGAGTTCAGTACAGTCGCTGTGTTCTTCAGCATAACTTCTTGCTCTTTTCAGCTAGTAGACACCTGAAAAATAGTTAGATGTTAATGAAGATTTGATCGAAAAGTTTAATACCTAGAGTTATAGATCTAATATCATCGAGAGATAAGACAGGAAATGGTTCAAATAAATTGTCAATATCTATAAATTGCCAAACGTTATGTCGCTGCAGATTATCTTGGATAAGCCGTTCTGGCAAGATGTTGCTCTTTTAGAGCAGTTGATTCATACGTCGAAGTATATCATCATCTTTGGGTGAGGCTACTACCATGGGTACATGAAAACAGTTATTAAGTGCTGCTACAATGACCATAAAATTAGGAACGATGGCAAAGATGAATTTTGAATGGTTTGGCTGAACCATCTGAATCTTTTGAGCCGTGCATTGACACCTTCAACTATCCAACGTAGTTTCGTGACAAAACGTAATCGGTTGGCATCGTACGCATCGAATTGTCGTCGAGCGTTACCGAGAAACGAAGGCATCGCAGTGTCGATCCCAAAAGCTTATAGTACGCCAAGAGAATCACGGAAGCCTCTGTCTAAAGTCATGATGTCATTTTCCTTGGTCCAATTAAGAATATCTTCATAGTTGTTGAGCGTGACATGCTTCAGAATAGAAGCTTCATTGTAATGAAAGTCGGAGAAGAATGGTCCAAAAATTGTGACTATATACCCAGTTGTGGTTACCATAACCATGGGCTTGATTAATGAACGTTTCTTCTGCAGACTGTATGTCTTGCGTTGAACTGCATTATTTCGACTTTTCTATTTTTCAGAAGAAAGTGTTACACTGTAAACTAGAAAATACATTATAGAGTATAATGAAAGATATTCTAGGAAAGTCCATACGAATTCAATGACAAATTTCTACTTTCTTGAAAATACGATATTCAATAAAATAGAAATAAAAAATTCGATTTTCTAGCTAGAAAATCGAATGCGAATTCGTATGGGCTTTTCTAGAAATTCGCATTTTATTTAGTAATTAGAGCATTTTCTAGAAATTGGAAATTCAATTTTCATTTTCAATTTCAAATGTATAGATAATATAATAAGATTTTATCCTCAAAAGAAACAACTAGTTATTGTCTTCAGCAATCTCATCTATGATTCTAAACTGATGATAGATAAAAATTAATGATATAAACTAAAATTTTAGGATTCCATTAAAAGAGGAAAATTTTCTAACGTAAGAAAAAAAAGTCAAAATGTGTAAATATTTCGATCAGGAAAAAATGACTTGAAATACGATACTCAATGTTAAATGCAATAATATAATATCAGAGTTCATGTATAATTCCACAAAAATAAATGATTATAAATATCTATTTTATGGTGAGAAAAGTTTTTATTTGCAATATTCTTTTCGTGAATAAGAAATAAATGGACATTATGTGTTTGTTCATGTAAAATAGACTGACTCATGTGGATTCGAAAAAATATAGCTGATCTGCTCGCTAGAGCTGGCAGAGAAAATAATGAATGCACTACACTGCCGACTATAACTTATATACACAAATGAACAATGACTTCATAAAGGTCATAATCCAAATGATTTTCTAGAACGTGGCGCTGATTTTTTACTTTTTGCAGAATTTATCTTGATTTTCTATAAAATTGCAATTGAATTTCAAACATTTTAAGAAGTCACTGTTGATTTTTCAATTTTTTGGAAAAAGAATTTTTCTGAAAATCAAATTGAAATTCTATAATTTAGAAAATCAAGCATTTTCTGAATATTTAAAATTCGAAAATGCTTTAGCTTATTTAAAGTAGACTTTCTAAAAAGTAGAATTTCAAAAAAATTTATAGTGATACTCCGAAAGTTTCTGAAAATACGATTAGATTTCGAATATCAACAAAAAGAGATTTCAAAACGTTTTACGAGTGTTGATATCGTTTTTTTTAGGGAATATAAGGGTTTCCGAACTATCAACAACCAATAAGATATTTACAGAAGCGATGTCAACGTTCTGAAATAATCGCGCAAGCCTCTAATAATTGTCGAATGGTTATACGAGTGCGTTTTGGTTTTCTGCGAAACGGATTGTCTTTAGATAGCACTTAATTTATCCCCTTTGTCTCAATCTAACCTCCTACATGATTCCCTCAACCGTAATCTGATCTAAACTCTATAAGCTAATCGCATTGTGTATATATCGCTCATAGCTCACCATTTTAGTCGTAGTCTAACTGCAAAGTTATTTCTATACCTTTATTGAACCGCTTCACTTAAGAGAATGTAGAGGTCATCAACAGAGAACGTATGCGATTAGTGTTATTGCGATTTGAAATTGAAATGCAGTACTTCTTTTTTTTATAATCTTCTGCAGTTCAATCGTTTAGACTGCTTTGATTAATGCACATTAAAAATATTTTACTCGATTCTGAACATGATTAGTAGCGAAACAGTTGGTGTTTGATTTCCACTCAATTCAATCAGAAGCGAAATTTGGCCAGGTATATATACTTTAATGCTCATGTTTTGAAATGAAATTAGAGAAGCATTTTACGAAACTTCCCTAAATACTAAACATTGGCAAGGCTTCTTTACGAAACTCTACATGATAGTAAACTTTTAAAGTTTCGTATGTGCGAACAAAACCTTTTAAAGCATAGCTAAGTATCACGGAACTCTTAAAGTTCCATATCGTACCCTTTTGTTCAGTGTACTTATCCCTAGCTTCTTATATCTGTATATTTCCTACCCTTATATATATATATATACATCTAGCCCCTTATACATATGCTGCAATGTTATTATCTAGTTCTTTTCTTGCACCCTCAATATTTAACTTCTAAATAGATATGTCTAAACCCCTACACTGGGAAAAAAATAGCACCATACGGAACCATTTTTGAAACGAATTCTAAACCCTCAAAAAGGTTTCGTAAAAGCCCAAGATAGTCTCAAAATTATTATCAAGAGTCCAGGAAACTTNTTCGAAGGTTTTGTGGAAAACCTACGAAACCTAAAAAAGGTTCAGAATTCGTTTCAAATCTCGAAACCCTTTTTAAGTTTCGTAGTGTCTGCGAAACCATTTTAAAGTTCAGTGAGAAAATTCTAAACTTTTTTGGTTCCGTGTGGTGCTATTTTTTTTTCAGTGTACACATATATGTTTATGAGCCTTTGTGTATGCGTTTCTGTTATATATACACTTATACTCATTAATCGAAACATATGTTCCTATGACTACTACTAACCCATATGTTTGTCTATGTTACCTGTGTTAAACTAGAAATGAAGACATGTCGTATTGTTTTAAACTAAGAACAGCGTGATCATAAAAAACGGACACAAAAGTAAATGCACGAAGGATATAGATCTGGGCATGGAATATTCATCATATAATACGAGTGACGGTCAGCAATTTGCGATGACAAATATTTTCAACTAATATGCGCTGTAAAAGCTATAACAAAATCCAGTCATATAATAATATTTAAAATACAAATATAGAAAAAAATTAATTAAGCAGATACTATGTTTCTTTCGGCAATATGTTAATGGTTTAACAAGTTTAGCGAGGAAACTTTGATTGCTCTATAAGTGAAGTGTTCTCTATTGCCCAAAGAATTGGCTTCGTCTAGAAAAATAGATAGTTTAGAAACGTTAATGTGATATCCAAGCTCGATTGTAAACTGAATCATAAATAAGTCAACGGAGAAAATAATTAAGATCAGACGACTTTCTGATTACTGGGTATTTATACGAAAGTTCAAAGTGTTATTCAACATTTTTTTGTCAGTCTAATGTAATACTCATCCAGCGAGCACGACTTGCGAGACGAGTATTCAGATTCATGAACGAATATTGGAGGGATTTCGTGTGTACGTATACTTTGTGATTAATTTGATGAGATACTCATTGGTATGTTTCTTTGGAGATTTACTTACTAGCTAAAGCATGAGTACTCATTGTGGTACTGATACTCGTTTCTTTGCAAGTCATTTAACAAAACACTTATGGCTTACGTTAGAATGTAAAAAGGAATGATATACTCGAATCGAGCATAGAGAGAATGTTGTGTTAATGATTTATCCCTTGATTCCTCTATTCTTTTCGTATGAGTTATTCATACTATTTTAATTAACGATGACTTCAAGAAAGGAAAAGGAAATTTCATTTCAGTTATTTTTTCTTTTATGGAAGACACGTGCAGTTTTTGAAAGAAGACCAATTAATCTTTTAAGTTCATTTTTTTTTTATAAAAAAAATACATGAAAGATAGCCACTAGTCTAAAAAAGGATTTCCCGTAATAATCACCATTGGATTTGTTCATCAACACACTTCTCCATTTCACCGAATAATTGATTATTCATTTCTCTTCATTTGCATTCTATTGTTCTCATAACGTATATGAATTTGCTTACTCATGTACACAACAATAAACGATATTTACATCTTCAGAGAATCAAGAATGTTATCGATTGTGGTAGATTATATAATCAGTATTAGCTAGTTTCCAAGGGAGAAAAACTGATTTCTGATACTAGACATCACTAGAAATCATTGGAAATCACTAGAAATCAAGAATGACAAACTAAGGTTCGCCTTCAAGTGAAATTATGAATTTTCGTCTTTCACACATCATCTACTACAGAATTTTATGGCGATCACGAATATACGTTTTTCAAGTTATTTCAAAGCTTCCTTCAGTTCAAAAAATCGAAAAAACCTGTTTTTTCCATGTTTTTGTAAAATTGAATTCGTGCACTTATGAATCTACTTAGATACTCGAAAAGGACATATTCTTGTTTAGCTTGAACAACTGAATCAGAAAATATCTTTAAAATTTGTTTTTGACCTAAACAGTTGCCCGTGAAGGTCTCTAAAAGCACAATTTTCAAAGCCCAAAAAATTATGTTTTTAAAACCTTTCAAAAACTTTTTCTGATGTGCTGCAATCGATTTTTTTGTATGGTTCGATTTGCCAGAAGCTCCTCTTTAAAAGTGTACGAGCAGTTTTTCAAAATTGTTTTCCTTCATGGAGAAAAGTGAATTTTACCTAAAACTATGCGAAAACCTAAAAACCGTTTTCACGATTTTTGGAAGTTTCGCCAATAATACAATGGAGACAACACCAAGTAGGTTATAAACGATGCGGAATTTGATGGAGACACAACGGAAATCTCCAGGTGGTTTCTAGAGGGATTTTGAAGGGATTTTTACGTATCTACATGGGAGAAATGATTCATGGGTGAGT